ATACCATATAATGTAAATCATATGTAATAAAAGAGATAGTCTCCCAGAGAGCGAACTTTGACTTTTATGAGCGGCTATTAAATATAACGCGTTCAATTCAAAATTCTATGTATAAGGGTTACATAAAAAAAGAATGAGAATCACATTTATAAGAGTTGTGATAAGAATACATTCTCTGAAATCATTCTTTTATTTTATAAATTGAAAGATCTATTTAATATCAAAGATCCATCAGTTTTAGAGAATTAAATTTTCACGAAGAACACGAAAAAATAGCAAAATTTAATCATTTTACTTAATTTCTCATTATAACTTAAATATCACTTAAAAACTCGATAAAAAGAGCATAATTTTAAAAAGTAAGAAAAGCGCTCCAAATGTTAGGAAAAATTATCGAGGAAAGTAAGAATTTTATTTTTCTTTGTCTTATTTTTATCCATTTTTCATGACGTTTTAAATATATTCCGGATCCCCCCAACTACAATTTTAATAATAGATTGCTTTGCGAATTTAGTGTTTTCCTAGAATAAAATTATCATTTGGTGACTTATTACAATGTCTAATTAAATGCCTCAAACCTTTAATTGGAGTCTAGAAACAGAAAAGATCTTTTAAAGTAACGTAAATAACACAGTATTTCTTCGTGTAATTTCTGAAATTTATAGTTTAAGAAATTTCTCATTTTCAATATCATTTCCAAACACTCTCTTCTTTTTAATTTTGTAACTTAGAAACTCTTCAAATTGATCAATGAATTATTAAAATTAATCGGCGGTTCTGAGTGAGACATTTTACGGGAGAATCAATATATGCTCGTGTTTGAACTGACAAATGGCGCTGTCAATTTCTGTCGTGCGCCCTTTGAACTAGAGAGAAATTCCTTTCGAGGGAGACAGCTAGATCCTTTCGGATCAATGAACATTTCGTGGACGTCTAACGGATGACACGACGGCTGTCTAAAGCTATGTGTACACACGGTACATCGTTCATACGCGCGGAACAAGGAAACGCACGCATCACATACATGACACACACATGTACACATACGCAAACACACATGTGCAAGCGCGTGTATAAACGGTACACACCGGACGAGCGGACGGTCGAATACGCATGTAATACAGCTGTGCGGTTCGTTCGACCAATGAGATGAGAGCTCGGACATGCGGATGGTTATATTGAATCAGACTGTTACGGTTTCTCAGGAGCTAATTAGGAGAGAGATCCTTGAGATAATCCTCAGATATTTGTTTAATTTAAATATATTAAAAGCTATTTTCGTCCTTAAGAAAATTTTAATATTTAACACATTTACAAAATTAAGTTAATTTATACTATATACTGATTATACCATAACTGGTGCAATTAAATAAAATTATATGTATATTAATATTTTTTGTCATAGTATATAGGTTTTTAATGTGCAAAATAAACTTCGATTTATTCGACATAATGCTTATCGGCATGATAATTAATTAATTTATAATAACTTAATTTAAATCAGAGATTAGGAGATTATGCATCACTGTGAAATAATTAATTTCGAATGAGTTACTATGCAAATTGCAAATTAGTAAATGAAAGTTAATTGTTTTTAATGAATTCTGTACAATTTTCGTTGCCTTGAAGCGCGATAATTGTTCGAGCGAGATTTCAAAGGCAAAAGTTTATCCTATATCTTTTATTTAGTATTTAATTATAATATTAATTAATATTTTATACACGTGATACTCAATTTTTTTAATAAAAACAATTGAAATGATTTATTTAAAACTAAATATTTGAAATTTACAGTTAAACATTTGATCACGTAAATAAATTACACCTTGTTTATTGATTGACTTCGTTAATTAGCGATTTATTTTATATCTACAAAAATTATTTAAATAAATGAAGGTAGCCACATATAAAATAAAAAATATAAAAAAAAAATAAAATATCAATATCTTTATTTGATGATAAGTTATTTAAGTAAGTAAAGGTTGGTTATAATGTGAATTAATTAATTAATTATATCCACTAACTGCGTTTTTAAATAAACTTTGCAGTTAATGAAGTATTATGCTAATTTCAATTTAACTTTAGTATAATTGAAATTAATTTTACCTAACAATGCTAATTTTTAAATTTCATGTTTTACTATCAAAATATTTTCTAATTATGTTATATTAGATTAACAGATAAATAAATTCCACAAAGAATGTCATAGTAATGCAATAATCTTTAACAATACTAATTTATTATACTATTCTTCTGCACAGCAAAGAGTTTTCTTTTACCTTTTTTAATATATATAAATATGAATCTTTACATTTTAAAATCGATGATAATGTCATCGTGATATATACATATATATAATATATATCAGATAGAATTTCACGAATTTTATTAATCTAATTATTAAACCGCTCTTTAACATAATTATATTATTAATGAGATATGAATATGACGTGTCGCAATAAATTCATTATTGTGTCAGACATAAATATTAATATTATTAAACTCAAAAAAAAATTAATTTGCAAATCGGTATAATCAATATAATCAGTAAATAATTGATTATATTTTGAGCAGATTAATACTTGTATTACATTAATTAATTTATATTTTGTTTGTAACGAAATAATAGATATAGAAGGAAACATACATAACAAGATCTCGCTCCGAAATGCATTCAATTTAAATTTTGCCTAACATTAATAAATTTCAACAGCTAGATTTGCTGTTAGGTGAAGGTAGTTTAGAGAAAATAAATTATCATTACGTGTATATTATTCAAGAGTGGAATAGTCTACAGACTACGATATCAAGTAACAATACTTCACCGAATAACAGTCTGATCGAATCACTCATTCACGAAGCTCGACTCTGCGCTCCGACTCGTGCATTTTAACACACAGCACATACAATAGGGTTGTAACACTTCTACCACCAAATTAACAGCGATAACAGTCGTGGATAGTAATTGGCCCGCGAGAGCGAACGGGAACGTAGCTAGAGCAGCAAATGTGTGCCTTTTGATTGCGTGAACTTTGCTTAGGGTTATGATCACTTCTCTCGGTAAGAGCTCGCTCTTGTTAATACGTGCATATACAATACATCTTACGATTATACACACACGCGCAGTTGTGTGTCAAGCGCACCGAATAGAGAAACGGAAGGGAAACAAAAAAAAAGGAACGGGCGACGACGGGAAGCAAAAGACGTGCGGCGCGTTAGGTAAAATCATCACTGATCACTATACGTATTAATTAACTTTGTGACCGGTATAATTTTAATACTTGTTTTACTTTCGCGGTATAACAGAAATATAATAAACGTGATATTAATCGTTACATTTTAAGTGTCATGAAGAGTCTTGAGTTTCGTGTAAAGGAAAACGGTGTTATGGAAAAGCGGATTAACTCATTGTAAGCAGAGTAGTTTTCAGTAAATTAAGTTTGAAATGCGGAGTTTCATGTTGCTGGCCCAGCTGTGTGTACAACTCCTTTTTCTTCCTTTTTATTTCGCGGATTAACCCACTTTTGCACAACATCGTTCGGAGATTCTGTAATCACCGAGATTATACCGGTCCCGATCGCTGTACAGAGCGGTGTTGAAGATAATGAGAAAAAGATACGGTTGATGGAGCCGCTGTCGCGTATGTTTAATGTGTAGAGATCAGTGAGAATGCAATGTCAAACTATTATCTCTCGTTTTACCCTAGATGTATTAACACACTCCAGCGAAGGGAGTCTCTTTTTTTCCATAACGACGATCGAAGTTTAACTCGTTTACTTGTCTCTTTCTCTTTTTCTCTCTTCTCTGGTCGTGTACGCATACGCTCGCGCGTGAATGACACGCGTATGCGACACATCGCATGATGAATTTTTATTTCGAGATATTTTCCCTCTCATTACATCAGTAACAATTTATTTTTAATATACATATGTACAGGATGTAAAACAATTGCTATTCCTTTTGCCTATAGATAGATTAACAATTAATTTCTTTCTCTTCATGATTAACGTTTAATTAAATAAATATTATATTCTAGTACATTGTTAAAAAAATATGCTAGACATATTTATTATTTCTGTTAATTTTTAAGTAATTAAGAACAAAATCTTTGCTATTATGAAACGTTATATTTTAATAATTAAACGATATTGGCACTTGAAATTAATTTAAAATAAAGTCTTGTAATAAGAAAATTAAGTAGCACGTGAAAATTGAGAACATTATCTTGTAAAATATTGTTAAAAGAATATGCTGGATATATTTATTATTTCTATTAATTTTTGCTATATCATATAAATACGTTCATAAATAATTAAGAATGTGTCATATGTAGTAAACTATAATTAAGATTTAAGAGTCAAATAAATATCGTAACACAATAAATTATTTTGGAACATAAAGAGTTACGTATGAATTTACTTTAATTATTTCTTGGTTTTGCAAAAATTGTGAATTTTGAAATTTGTGTAAATATAATTTTTTCCCGATACAAATCGGTATTCAAATCTCATATTTGAAGCTAAAAGTAACTACATTCTCAGTATGATAACAATAAATGCAACTCTTACATAAAAAGGTCAAATTTTATTTTCCTATTTAACATTTAAATGCATGGTCTGAAATGCGGATCACAGCATCGGCAAAAGGGACAGCGGTTAGTTATAGGTTATCCCGTATATCCGTATCTTGAAACTGGAATAACCGATATCATTTTATGAATCGGAAAGAGTAGGTCGAACATTACATAACATACGTAACAATTGCTCCTTGATTTCCGAGTCACGTAAAGATATCAGTTGTTCTAACTTCAAAATATCGATATGTACATATATGTATATACGCGAGTCCTTTTCTAGTTTTCTCTTCTACCTTAGGAAATTTCCGTTCTCGTTTCTGTTTTTCCGTTTTCCGTTTCCGTTTCCGTTTCGTTAAGTTGTTCTCGGCGCTCCCGGGCAGCCGGTGCGCGTCTTTGTAATACGCCCCTTTGTGTGTGTCGACAGCTCTGGAATCGACAATAATCCGACGGTCTTTTACCACTTAATGCCCGGTTCCACGGCGCAGACGAACAAGTTTCATACGTTTTACCTTCAGCAACGCGGAGAGCAATCGACAACTTGGGCCGATATTAAAGTTAATCATCCGCTGGACTACGAGAGCATAAAAGAATACAATCTCACCATACGAGTGGAGGTATGACTCGTCTTTTATGTACACACTCGCTTTTGCAAGAGATTTGTCTTTACGCAATTAAAATATTTTTTAGAAAAATATAAACATATCTCCTGATGATAAAAACCTACAAATATAAAAATAATCTATAATAAAAGTCGATTTTTTGAACGTGAATTCTGGTAGATAAATTTAAATCGGTAAAAAAAATTAATAAAATATAATCCAATTTTTAATACAATAAAAACTGGTTAAAATTTTTACAAGTGTATAATTTGTTGCAATTTTTTTATATAGTCCGAAACACAATATAAAAATCTGAAATTTGAAGACTCAGGTTATAGACGAAGGATGAAAATTTTACAGTGCTAATGGAGGGTTAATGGCCATAAAATTTTAGCACGATAATGTTCTGCTACATTGACGATAAAATAATAAATTTTGTGCATTTAATGTTAAATGTAAATATAAATGCGTTAAAGTTATAGTTTAATTTAAATATTAAATAATAAAAGCTTCTTTAAAAAAACAAAAAAAGTAAATTGATATAATCAAACAGTAACGTTTTCATCTTTGTATTAGATTACTGAATGCGTGTAATCTGAGAAAAGCTTAAAATAAACGTATTTAAATGCATTCATATTTTTACACGAAAATGAAAAGGAAGAGTTGGCATTAAGAAGTACACGAATATAGAATCGTTTTCAACTAATTGCGGTCAACTTAATCCCACCAGAATAATGGAGCCCAGCAGCTGGCTTCCGAGGCTACCGTGTACATCATGCTGGAGGATGTAAACGACGAGATACCGCTGTTCACCGAACGAGAACAGGAAACCGTACTCGAGGGTGAACCAGTGGGCAGCAAAGTCACCCAAGTAAACGCCATCGACAAGGACGGGACATTTCCCAATAATCAGGTAAATCGATATCGTGCGCTATTGCACACTAAACAAATTGACGTATTTTGAGAGAGTAATTAATTTCGATGCTAGCTAATTACTTAAGAAAGAGTATGTGAGTTCCACACACTTGTTCTAAATTCCTTTTACGTTTGTGTTATATGGCATCATTTTATGATATAATAATAACGTGAAATTTTTAAACATACACTGAGAAACATGCAAACCACATAACACAATTTTTAACAACTTTTCTCAATTTTTGCGTAAATCTATAATTAAAAAATGTATTTTTATATTAAATTTATCTAAACTTCTTTGTTAAATTAATTTAAATTAATGATACTTATTCGTTTTTCTAACTTGATACAAAGATAGCTATCGTATATAGTTAAATTTATCAAAGAAGTACACAAAAGTATTTTAGATATTTATGTACAATTATTATATAAAATGCAATTAATAAAAAGCTAGATTAAAATTAGTAAAGAAATTCGGTTATAATGAAAAATGGCCGAGAGAGGAAAGCGCATCACATGTTCGACACAGGTCTTTCCACATTTCTTTACCGTAGAGGTCCGATTCCGCGTGGATCGATTGCAGGAGAATTGCGGCGAAGCTGCACAAAAGAACCAAAGAATACGTTCGGTATCGCGCTATTGCGGGGCACTTGAGAAGGACTTAAAGGAGCTCAGTCGTCAAAGTCCTGATTGAGGAGAGATGAAGAACGGTCGGGAATTGGGGAATAAGGGTGGTTACAGAGTGCTTAGACGCACAGCCATAACTTAGACTGTCGCATAGAAACTTTAATGTTTCGTGTGGAAATGCATTGCCGCCGTTGGTAGAATGTTATAAACTCTGTAACGGAGTAACGCAATTTCGACGAGCGCACGTTTGAGTGGCGTTGAATTTATCACGTATGATCGCATTATCGGATATGCCAGCAACACGAATGTATATCGCACCGACATTTAATCGCGTGATTATCATTCGTTTTACATTGAAACCGGGTTGCTACGCTACCAAACGCATTTTGTAATGCCGATACAACTACCGATTAGGTGCAAACGTGCTGAAAATTATGTAACAAGCTGCTAGTTTCTGAGAGAATTAAGCCGGAGATATTGCAAATAACCTTCAAACCTGGGTTTTAATTAGATCAATTTTGTGTCTTTCGATTTAAAACTTTTAATATTATACATACTTAATGGAACGTTCCTTGTCTCATTTTTGAGTTTTTATAAAATCTTTTTAAACTTTTTACATCAAGGAGAACTGATAAGCATTTATTATAACTTCATTATCAGTTTTTTCGTCAAGACGTTAATTTTTCATTATCATTTATTAATTAAATACTGAACTTTTTTCTATATGTTTACAATCTTTTATAAAAAATTATATAAATTTATAATTTCTTATGAAAATAAAAAATCAGTAAAAGATTTTAAATTCTGCTAAATTACACAGAATTATTCTTTATTATTTTTTATCTCATACGCATTTTCAAATTTTATTACATCTTTTCTTTTAAGAGAAACAAAGAAATAAGAAACTATTAAATAAAAAAAAAAGGATTTTATTAAGGATTTTATTACAAATTTATCTTTCTTTCGTTAAACAAACATTATTCTTAGCTAAGCAACTCCGTGAAAATGATATGCAACGCAACTGCCAAAAAAACTTTACCTCGACAGTAAACGGAAACCGAGCCACTGTGAAATATTACGAAATTTCCAAGTGGAAATTTACCGATTAAGTAGCATGAGATGCGCAACTGTAAATTTCACCGATTACGTGAAGTTCTTCGCGCGCAAAGGATCTATCAAATATGCACATTCTATTTCTACGTGCTATATATGTACATGTATATGAGTATATATATATATATACATATTATATATATATATATATATACGGACGTAGGTTTGCAGGGCGGAAATACCGCACAACAAACAAAAGGGGTACGACGAATGTGAATCCGACATGTAGTCGAGTGCAGTAATCGCGTTGCAGCAAACTCGATATCTTCTTTTCCCTACTCCTTCATTCGTTTTTTCTTGCATGCGTCCCATTATTGGCGATAGCAAATAGAGAATTTTGTAAGAATAAAAATGAAATTGCAAAACTTGGTTATAAATAATATACAAGTTAAAATTAAATAGTACATTTCTAAATGATTATACTTATAAATGTTTTTTACTGTTGTGTTAATAAAACCTGATCTAACTTAATGTAAAGTTCATAATTTCAAAAAAAATTATGTAGGTAGTTATTAATACCGTCAGTTTAAATGCTACTGCAGTGAATATAGGAAATATAGGAAATAATTGTAACGATAAGATTTATATAAAATCCAACAAAAGCGTGTAAAAATAATGTATTTTAGGATTTGCCGAATAGTCCATATAACAAGAACATTGTTAACATCGACTTAATCAAGTTTTTCCGTTTCGTCTTTTAATTAAGGGATTGGAAAGAAGTACAGGGTACGTTGAAAGAAAACCATTTCATCATTACATAAAATTGCACTGTCCCGTTCGGGTTGCAGTAACACTGTTTGCCGTTTCATTAAGATAAAATTGAAAGGCACAAAGTGCCGACGTGTTCGCAACTTGTCTAAGTAAAGTCTTGCAGTGCGAATTTCATTCAAATTTTCTTCCGCGATAACTATCTCAAAGTTTCGTGCTCCCGACGCCATTATACACCCCGGACGACGACATTTTTATGCGTTTCGCGTACTTTATACATACATGCATTTTAATATAAAACAGGGAGTTTCCTCGAATAAAGGTAAAACGAGTCGAATTGTAGAATAGGTCATACACTCGCGATATATTGCGTTAGAGAATTGAAATTTATTCCGCAGGATTCAAACTGTGTTTATGATGAATACGTTAATGATGTATGCCGGCCAGTTATCAATGGACTTTAAACAATTTTATAAAACGGAAATAATAGAGAATAAAAAGTCATTATTAACGTAAAACACATATTAATATATAGGAAATGGAATATTACAATACTGCTGCAATTTATTAATTTTTAAGTAGGTGAGGTACTTAAAACACTCCGAAAATTTCAATTTTTATAATTATATTTTTTAATAATATATATAGAGTTCACAAATTTATATTATTTATACCTTCATAAGATAGAGGAATGTAAAAATAATTATTCTATTTATTCGAATTTGTTTTTTAAATAATAAACTTTTTAATGAAGACTTAAACTCTTCTGGGTAATATTATTTATTTTACTTTTCTCTAGAGAGAACAAGGTTTTTAAAATAACTATTACGTATGGGGAAGGTGTGTGGCTACCTATACCTACTTAAACCTTTAGATGTTCCACATTTTATGAAAAATTTGTATCTCCAAAGTTTTAATAAATTAAAGAATTTTATTTGTGACGTGACATGTTGTCATTATTCTATTAAACTCGCAAATAAGTACATTTTTTCTTTAATGGCGCGATGTCCAATGGAATTATGACAGTCTGTCAGATATTTGCGCATGCGAGACACGTAGATAGAGTCAATAAACTTCACATTATTTATCCAGGTCACATATTACGTGGTAAACAGCGAGAGGAACGAAGGCAAGGATTATTTCGAGATCAACAGGGAAACCGGTGAGATCTTCACGAAAGTAATGTTCGATCGCGAGAAGCAGGGTGCTTACGCCCTGGAGGTAGAGGCTCGAGACGGAGCACCTTCCGCACGACCTAACGGCAACGGCCAACCTAACTCAGGTAGGTGGTACAGAAAATTTTATTTAAAAGCCGTCTGTGTGCGCCATACACACTCTCTATTGCTCGTACTATAGATTCTGTTAAATAACAGATTATAGGAACAATATATTTGTATTCAAGTTTATGAGCGATTGAGGGCGTACCAGCTGTACGAAGTTACCGTATAAAATGGTACTACAACGGGAATAAATTGCTTAGCGAGAAACCGTAAACGAACTCTAAAAATAACGTACTCAATGGATATTATAAGAGCTTATTATAAAAATGATGCAACGACATCAGTGCCGCGACCGTTATATTTTATGCTACTTTATTTTCACTTAAAAAAGTACATGACAAGTATTAGTAATTTTTAAAATACAAGAAAAGATTAATTATACATTAAAAAATATTAAAAATAATGTTTGTTTTTTAATTGATTCTTTATAAAGTACAAAACATTACGCTTCATCGAAATTAAAGAGGTATGGAAAGAACAACAGAAATATATTCCATTTTGTGCAAGTATTTTAAAAAGTTGAGTAAATAACAGATTGTAAAAAAGTAATATTTATATTCATGCGAGATATGTGTACAAACCAGATAGAATCACCGCATAAAATTCGAATAGAACTCGTTTATATCATTCAACCAACACGGTTCAATAACAAAAAAAATCATGTAGAGCGAAACCTTATAGATTTAAAAAAGTACGTTTCAAAAATAGAAAGTATATTAAATTGCATATATTCATATATATATATCCCTATTTATTATAATCATATTTATAACTTTCTTGAAAAAAAGTGACTTGAGATTACATTCCTTTATGTGTTTCTTTAACAAAAATAAAACTTTTTTCTACCTTTCTAATACTGTAATTATTTATCTATATATATATTTATCTATATATATATACATATTTATATATATATTTATTATATATTATAATACTTTAATTTATTTTTGTAATATATTTTTACTATAACATGCTTTTCTTAAAACGAAGAAGATTAAATAAATGCTTGTAAAATATCGGAAAATAACTACAAACATCGAATTGCATAAATATATTCACAAAAATACGTTGCATAAAATTATTTTATTCTAATTTTATATTACGATAAAAAGTTAGTAGTATGGATAGAAGTGTTTTATAAAATGATTATTGATTTTTTTGCAGCGATAAGTGAATTACTAGAATTACTAGATATTAATATTTTATTAATGATTTGAGAAAAAGAATGTGTTACCTTCGATGAAATTTTCTAAAACGCTTTTGACTGAAATCTTAAGATTTTTTTCATGCAACATGTGATTTACATTATCGAACTTTTATGGTATGAACTTTCGTGCATCAACGTGATTACGATGTCGTCTTCGTCTTCCGCGAGAGCTTGCATCTTACATTAGTTGATTACACGCATTCTATACACTTATTCGCAATTCTGAGAGAACAAAATTGATTGGAAATAATTTTAAATAAATGTTATACGTTTTTATATAAAAGAATTATAAATGATAATCGTCGGTTTTCCGCATAACGGGATAATTCTCATTCATGTAACGTATTTAATAGGTAAATAATTTTTTCGTCAAGATTTTTGTATATAATACCTTGAGTATCAAAACTGCTTTCAAATAATACAATAAAACAGAAACGATAATCGCGAAAGCTGATTATGGTGACATAACGTAATGGATATTAATACGTTCCGTAATTAAAATATGCCTGTTGAATTTTGATCAATTAGAGAGATGAAAGAATAATCAAGAGCTTTGAAGAGTTTTTGATTGTGAATCGCTTTGAGTCAATTTGTGCAATTACTATAGTATTGTAAAATTAACAATAAGTATGTAATATGTAAATGTTAATTTAATTGTGCAAATTTCTATTTGTATTAATTAATTGCTTATTAATCTTCTACTATTGTTTATAACTTGTTGTAAATTATAATTTACAACGTATAATTTACGCGTTGCTCAGTACCTTACTTGGAGATTACAAAATTTAACACAATAGCCTTGCACATAAAATTTATTGGATTGAATAAGAGATAATTACTTTATTTTTCATGAGTATATTAATATAATCACGTATGTCCAAAAATAAATGCAATCATTTCTTGTTCAATGCAATAAATAACCTATTTTTCATGTATTTATTAGATTAAACGCTTATTAATCAAAAGAACTAAATTGACTAAAAATTTGCCAGTGTTATATTTTATGATATCTCTTACTCAAGTATTCAAAGATTCATAAAGAAATAGTAGACTTTTTTTTAATACTTCGACAGATTTTTCTCTGTGAAATGGATATATTTCGTCGCTAGAGTGGCATGTTACATTTTTCGTGAAATTTTAAACATTGAAGTTCCAATTTATCGATCGGTATTAACGTACGTGCAGTTACTCTCCCGTCTCGCTACCGATTAAGTAAAATATATACAGAAAGAATGGTTTTTGCTGAAGTATCCAAAAATTTAGCTACGTACAAATATAAAAATAAATTTTATTAGATTATCAAAGTAATTATGTAGAACACTCAAGCTGATTGCTACACTGAAAAAAAGAGCTCGGTAATAGCTACAAATATTATTATTACTAAACATAATAATATAACCAACAGAGAGAGAGAGAGAGAGAGAGTTTGGTAAAATAATTATTAAATATTTTAAAAATTATAAATTTAAAAACTTTTGTTATATTAACCAGACATTTAAATAAAATTATTTCACTCGACATTTGATAACTTATCAGACTATTTTTTTCAGTATAAAATGTTGAAACTTTTTCCAGCATTGCTCATTATGTTTGAATTTCCTATATAATTATTTCCAATAAAATTATTTTTAGATCTGCATATTTATCTCAATTTTTAGATATTTTAGCAAAATTATTTTTTCTATGTACATATGCGGATAATTAACGTCGTTATATAATTAAGATTCTTCGAAGAAAATAGACACTTTCGTTAATTAAAAGCTAAATCTAAAATCTTTGAACAGATAGGTTTTAATAATGTCATCTTCATTGTTACGCGTCACATCGAATTGCGTTATGATGTTGTATTATAATGCATGCATCATATACTGTGCACGCTATCGTTAAATAAGATTGATACACGGTCGATACGCGTTCCTTTCTCGCTATTAGTCGCTGAGAAAATTGAACGTTGAAGACATACGACAATCCGAAGACTGTGAAAGACTAACATTTCTTAGCTAAGCTCCTGTGAGAATTTTTACATGCTGTCCTAAGATGATGTAATATTACTTATTTTACAAGCTTCGGTTCGGGTTCTCAAATTATCGAAAAACAAGTCACTACCTGTCCCCATCTTATTATCCCTTTGCAAAGTTTCGCAGAAACATACTTTATATTCATCGTGAATATCTCCTTCAGAGAGGGGGGGGGGAGAGAGAGAGAGAGAGAGAGAGAGAGACCTGAGGCTATATTTTCAGTAAAAGCTATGTAGAAATTGTTTTAATATTCAATTAATGTATAAAGTTCAAAAACAATATATGATGTAAATACTAATAATAATCAAACAACAAAATTTTAATCGAGTATTTACATGATAATACTAGATCTATATCTTTCTCATAAATGCAATATTATTATATATACTTCATGAAATACTTTTAACGATTAAATAAAACTCAATTATTGTATTATTTAAATTATTTAAATAGCAAAAGCTTTTTAATGTTTATTAAGTAAGTATTTAGCAGTATAAAGTATAAATTTTGTTATAATAATGCCAAAGATTTAAGATAAATTTTATTAACGCGCAAAAATATATAAATTTTGTATAAGTACTTCATATAAGCCATTTTATTTGAAGAAACATAAACGCATCATTGTGTTTATGTTTCAATAATAAAATTTAGCTCTCTTTACAAATTTTAATGTCATTTAAAGTTGCAAATACATTACTTTTAAAAACACATAATTCACATATGATATTCAATATCACTGTCTACAAAAAAATATTTTTAAAAACTATGAGTAAGCTTGTAAGATAAATGGTTCATAAAATTAAAAAATATGAAATAATAATCGCTTTATTATAGACTTATTATGGAATCGCAAGAATTACATATGAATATCTAAAAAGTCGGTATAAAGTCCAAATTAATGTTCGTTGAAAAAGTAAATTTATTCACTTCGTGTTTGTCGAAGATTTGTTGATACAACCATTGAAAGATCTGTGAATTTTATTAACTCTCACTTTCACAAAAAATCATACAAATGCCTATGTAAGAAGTCAAATCCAGCTAATAGTATCATGTGATCTCAAGCAATCTATATATTTATGAGTTCATATATTTATTGTATTTTTATTTATTTCTTTTTATTTCTTACTGTTATTTAAATAATATAATAAATTCAAAAGTTTTATCATTATGAAATAATCTATTTAATATTAAATTTTTATATTTATATGTACAGTCTCCTATGTATAAATAATGTCTTTTAATTGGATTTCCTGACAATACAGAATTTTAAAATGTTCGATAAAAGATATAAAAGTGATAATATCTTTTTATTAAATTCAAAATATGAGAGTGCACTTTCATATGCACAAACAGATAACAAATTAAATATCCTACGATTAAATATTGGTTTTAATATGTTTGAACATACATTTTAAAGCAACAAATTTATGCAATGTCATATTTATTTAACACTTTTACTTATATATTTTTGTAATAACATTGTTAATGTTATTACAACAATACTTCTACTTTACCTTTACGATGCATCCACGTATGTATCGTGAAGTAGAACATGTTCATGGTATATATTATAGGTACCTAAAATTTTTTCTCTCAAAAAATTCGTTACTTTAATATAAAATAATTCAATAAACTCACCAGCGTGATGTGCAGTAACGGGGTTGTAAACTACGTTGCAGATCTGTAACAGACCAATGTAAAAACCAAATTAAAGTAAGCTCAAAATAATTAATAACTTAAAAAATAATTATATAACAAGAGGCATGGTACAGTTATGTGCGTTTTGCGATTTCATTAAAGTTTTATCATTTTCAAAAAAACTCTTTAAAAATTTTAAAAACGAAACATCTT